GCGGTGATGATGATGTAAGTGACGTTGTTGCATTTTAATGTTTTAGAAGTCTAGCCCACAAGACGCGCAGACGCTGCGTTATTCATTCAAAATATTAGAGAAATATAAAAACTCAATGTGTAGAAGATCTTGATTAGGTTAAAACCGAAACCAAGCCATTCACACAGAATGCATATTCAGGGCATTTCTTAGACGGACAAATTATGATTGCTCACACAAGAGATGTATAGAAAGCCATGCAAAGTTAAAACAGTTTAAACTTTTAGAAAACACGTCAAATAAATTGGGTTAATTTAAAAATACAGTGGTTAAATTTAAACGTCTTTTTTTCTATTGCTCTTTGTTTTAAAAAAGGGTTATAAAAAATGTCAATTATCGATACCGAACGATAGGAAACATTATATCGTTGATACATTTTTTAGCTATATCGCCCAGCCCTACTACTAACTAAGACATAGTTATATAAATAAAAAATTTCATCATTATTCAACATTATTCAAGCATGCAAATACTTGCAGCAATCTGACCTGTGATGGGTTTGGGTGAGTCTGGTCAAACTCTTCTATCCTGTGACTGGCCTCAGCGAGAGCTGCTCTGTGTGCTGGATCCCACAGCTTCTCCTTACGCTCTTTCTGAATCACCAGACATGGAATCATTATGTATAAACAAGCCAAAACATGCACTTGTATGAAGCTGACATGTGCACACCAGCAGCACTACCAAATCATCATGTGTTACCTGTATTCTCTCTTTAAGAGCTTTAGGGAAAAAATCATAACCGTTCTTTATTCCAATGTGATACTTCCCAGATGGATTCACCCAAGCATCAGGAATCTGAAGAGAAACAGGAAACCTTTAGTGTTACTGAAACGCTACAGTGTGGTTATTAAAATAATATTGAGGAGTGAATCTCACACAGCCTGTTCGAGAACATGGTTGACTCAAATTTTACCCCAACATTCAAAAAATATATTTTTATAACATTTTTTTAATTATTTAATAATAAATATTTTGTTTGTAAAAAGTAACATATATAACTAGAGGCAAAGTAGATGCATTTAATAAGATATTGACCCCCTTTATGTTAACAGACAGATAAAGTGGAACGTTAAATACAGACTGTGAATCAATCCCTGATGTCATTTTCCTTTATTTTCTGTTATTATTTTTATGTTCTGTTATTGTGTGTGTGTGTATATATGTATATATGTATATATATATATATATATATATGTATATATGTATACATATATATATGTGTATATAAGTTCACTGACAAGCTACGCAATATCGTGTTCATTATCGCAGACGAATCGCATGCGATAATGAACGAGATATAGCTTCTCAGATGCGCATGACAATCACATGCGATCTATCGTGCAGCCCTAAAAAATAAATAAATAAAAAAAATAAAAATAAAATAAAAAATTATATATATATATATATACATATATACAGTGGGTACGGAAAGTATTCAGACCCCCTTAAATTTTTCACTCTTTGTTATATTGCAGCC